CATCATTCCGGGTGCTCGGAGTGGAGATCCCATTCCCAGTTCATCCTTCCAGATACTGGGGGTGGGGAATCCCACCTCAAGTTTCCTTTCCAGCGGGAGATAGAATATAAAATTCTTCCTCTCCTCGGACCTTTCCGATGCTCGGAGTGGCGACCCCACTCCCAGTTCATCATTCCGGGTGCTCGGAGTGGAGATCCCATTCCCAGTTCATCCTTCCAGATACTGGGGGTGGGGAATCCCACCTCAAGTTTCCTTTCCAGCGGGAGATAGAATATAAAATTCTTCCTCTCCTATTTTGACACAACTTTCAACTTCCAATCCGCGCACTTGGTGCGTGGGGAATTTTATCCCGAATCCTAAGTAGGGATAAGTCAACACCTAACACGTGTTGCCGGGTAGCCTATTCCCGTAACAAGGGCAAAGTCTACGTATTCGAAGTCGTAGCAGCAAGTCTAAGGGAGTTCATTCCTTTAGCACAACGTTACATACGGAACGGATTTCGATAATCCGCATGCTAGCCCGATTCAAACGGTGATCGGTAAAGGCACATCAAACCCGTTGAAGGCTGGGGGTTTGCCAAAAACCCCAAAGTCAACGCCTAACACGCGTTGCCGGGTAGTCTATTCCCGTGAGAAAGACGAAGCCTATGTATTCAAGATCATAGCACAAAGCCTCAGAGAGTTTACTCTCTCAGCACAACGTTACATGCGGAACGGATTTCGACAATCCGCATGCTAGCCCGATTCAAACGGTAATCGGTAAAGGCACCTCAAACCCGTTGATGGCTGGGGGTTTGCCAAAAATCCCATAAATCTGTCATTCGGAAGAGATACAGAGAAAACACAAAAGAAGCAAATGCGGATTTTCTATTAATAAATCAAGTCAAAAGCATACAACAAAAGCTCGTTAGTCCGAAGGCAACCGACGGCTAAGAATATGAGACTCTAAACCAGAGAGCCTGTCCATATAGTCCTGCTCGAACTCCGCCTGCAGGCTAGCTCGGACAGAATCTTCGGAACTGTTGAGAACCTCTGCGGCTTCGTGTCGTAGCTTCATCAACCCCTCCTGCACTGATCCCAGCCTGTCGAGTGTCCATTCACGAGAACGCTCCAACCCAACCAGTTCCTCAGAAATGGTAGCGGCAGATTCTTCGGCGCGTTCCAAGGCCTCCTTCAGTCTAGCTATCTCTGCACGAGTGGAATCTAAGGAGCTCACTAACTCAGCTCTGCTGGTGTCTTTCCTCGCCAGAGAGGCCATCAGCTGCTCGACAGTGCGCTCACGTGATCGAAGCTCGCTGCCAACGGAAGATCGCAGTTCATGCCACTGCGTCAACCTATCCTCCACCTGAGAAGATGCAAAAGAGGGAGCTCCACCAGCCTTCAACTCCCTCAGCTCTCGAATCTCTGACTCCAGGGCAGCGAAATCAGCTGTAAAGGAATCGGCCAAATCCGGATATCCCTCTTCCCTCATCATCATCATGTGACGGGAGAAGGAACGCCTGAACTGATCAAAAGAAGACCCTCTGTGCAGAAGCTTATCAATCACGCCGTTATAAAAGGCAGTAAAGAAGCCGAGGTCAGTGCGGAAGACATCCCCATCTGGATTGGTATCGGCCAAGAGAGCATGGACCTGCTCATATAGAGACGGTCGAGAACCTGCAAGCAGCAGTATGGGAGGTCAAGAAACTATTAAATACAATCGAAAAGACCCTAAGGGAAATTCGAGGTATACCTATACCGGCGGAAATCCCCTCGGGTTGGGGTTCGACAGGCTCCGAAGTAACGACAGGAATGCTCATGGAAGGTATATCAACCCTCGTGGGCAAGTCAGTCGTATTAGGCGAAGGCGGGAAAACACCCGAAGCTATAGCAGAATCAGGTACAGCGCCTGGTCATATAGTTGCACTTCTTTATTAGTCAAAATGGAGACTGAGACAAGCAAAGAAGAGAGGAAATTGGATATATACCTGTGGATGAATCACTCTCAAAGAGTGGTCTCACAGTCCCGGTGGGAGCTTGTTCAGCTAACATATCGGCTAACAGTCCAGAGTCAGGTCTCGGGAAGACCGGTGCAGGAACATATCCCTGCTCTTCGAAATCTGCAATAGGGGAGGCCCCATCCCCGTCTGGCCCTTCTGTCGCAACACCTGCAGCACCGGATGTAGGTATATCTGAAAATGAACCGGTGGGATCAACACCATCTGCCTGCCCAAGATCGATGTTCAGATCAATGCCCAGGGAGCCATCACGAAGGGCGTCGCACACCTGCTGCATGAAGCAGTCCATGTTGTCAGCCCCAGAGAATACCGGACCTGGTGGAAGCTCGCCCTCCTCGAAGAACCCTGAATTATGAAACAGGATCAGGGATCCCGGAAGGTAAATCATCTTAAAGCAATAAAAGTGGGTACAACAAAATGTTACCTTCCTCCCCGTCGGCAAAGCCTCCTGAATCTACCCCATGGGAGCGCTGATCAACATGAGGTTTATGGGCAATCTTTTTCCTTTTCGAAGGATCACCCCTCATAGAACCAACGGGGCGGTCATGCGAAGTTTGGCCACCAAACTTGGATTTCGCACGACGGGAAGCGAGCGACCCATGGTCGTCGGCTACCCCACCTGAAACAACAAGAATCATCTCATGAACCAGATCTTTCGCCAATACCAATTGAAGTCGAGAAAGAGGATCAAAGAGCATGACAAACCTGTATCAAGTTCTGCTTGGTCGGTATCTATATCTGCATACTCCCCTTCGGGAATTCCGGTGGACTTCTTCCTCTGTCTCTGAGCAGGCTCAGCCCTGCGAGCAGCCATCATAGCAGATTGAACCAAGTGATCGGATTCTAGTTCCGAAAGACTCCTCACACTTATGGATTCATCGGCAGAGAGGAACCATTTACAGCTGAGGAAGGTAATCATCGGCTTGCGTTTATAGGAGGGAAGAGCAAACTGAGCCCCGGTGCAGCCAACCATGGTCCATAACCACGCCCGTACGCCGTCAACGAGTCCTCCCTCAACACGCAAACTACGACTCGGATTCCCAACGTATAGTTGGTCATAGCCAAACTGACGTGCGAAACGGCAGGGAAGGTAAGGCTCTATGTGGCAGCGGTCCTTCACCCGGAGAACAAGATACCCGACTCGGATGTTCACCAACCAGCGGAAACAACCGACGTCGAGAGCAGTCCGGTTAGTTCGGGGTTTCTCCATATCAGTCAACTCCTCGCCATAACGTCCCGAAAAGCGAGGGAAGCATTTGAAGAACTCCCAGTTCCTGCGAACTCGAAGTTCTTTTTGTACATCTTCAAATTTCTTCCCAACCCATCTACTCTCCTCCAACAGCTGTAGGAAAGGAACGGGAACATCAACGGCGCTGGGCGCCGACATCAAGTCCGGACGGTGAAGAACGAACCACGCCATCAAATAAGCGTAGGGCAGCTCAACCTTCGGGCAGGTAAGCTCAGTCGAGGGTTTAGAACCCACTTGGGTAAGAACACGAACTACACCCCTAAGCCCGCAATGGATGCTGGCAACCATCGCTGGAAGCAGAGAAAGCTCCCTCCCATAAGCTAGCTGGACCGCAGGGAAGAGCACCTCGAGGGGTAGAGCGTCTGAAGACTGATATGGAACAACACACTTCTTCAGCCAAAGAGCAAGGTAGCCAGCTAACAGAGACCGAGGATCGATAGACTTCTGGGCATGATAGAGGAACGATCGAAACTTAGTCCCGGCCGGAAAAGCCCCCTCGGCACTAGCAATGGTATAAGAATGAGTTTCATTCTTCTCCATCAGCTCATTAATAGCGGCAGGGGTCAAAACGCCTAACTCATGTATGGACTCCTCGGAATCATCCTCCAAGTTAGGAAACAGGTAAACAGCAAACTGCTTCAAGCTGATCTTCCTCTTCGTCTTCGCTGGAGGAGAACTCTGGAGCAAACAGGTGTGATAATGACAGGTGAGGTCCCAGAGAGTGTCATACACATCGGGAGTATCCTTCTTCAAACACTCCAACTGTTGGTTAGAAGGGAAGTATTCCTGATACGGGCAATCTCCCATCGAAAGCCCGGAAACCTGGTGCATCTCATGAAGAGCCAACCCTAGCTCTCCGCCACTGGTCAAGAAGGTATTACTATCAGGCATATATGTCTCGAGCAATGCCAAGAAGTGACGGCAGCTAACGGGAAGTCCATACATAGTAGCCCGTATGGGCGTATATAATCCACTACCCTTCAAGTCTCTCTCCCAGCGTCCCAGAACATAACTGGTCAAACGGGTCCACCATCCCTTAGCCAGTGAGGAAGCCCAACCATAACATCGGTAATCCAGTCGAGGTAATTGTCTTCCCAGATGAGCTAAACGATTCCTCACGGTGAGAGCGGCCGCCGATACCTCGCCTGGAGGTGCAGTGTCAAGACCCATGATCCCGGGTCGAAGGCCACAAATGGATTGATACCCCAGAGAACCGGGACTCTTGTGATGAGAAATGTATCCGCACTGAACGTGTGTAACAGCATTGGTAAGAGGCCAGGACATCTGTCGCCCCACAGCCTGTTTCTCCAAGTCAGTAAAAGAGCACTGGCGAGGAATAGAGGGGATATATAAAAGAGCTCCCTCGTCAAGGGTAAGCCAGTGCTCCTCAGCAAGAGTCAGCGCGGCAGGATCTTCGGTGCGATCCCCGAATAGAAAACCCGGCTTCTTTAAAGCTTAAAGAAGAAGCCCCGGTAACCTCCAGTTCCTTCAACTCTCGTATCTCTGACTCCAGGGCGGCGAAATCAGCAATGAAGGAATCATCCAATTCCGGGTATCCTTCTTCCCTCATCATCGTCATGTGGCGAGAGAAGGAACGCCGGAACTGATCAAAGCCGCCTCCTCGGTGAAGAAGCTTCTCGATCAAGCCATTATAGAAGGCGGTGAAGAAACTGAGGTCCGTACGGAAAGCCTCTCTGTCAGGATCAGTATCGGCCAAAAGGCTACGGACACGCTCGTGCAAAGAAGATCGAGATCCTACAAGCAACCCTACAAGCAGAAACATAGGAGCTCAGTGGATTATCGAATATGAAAAGGAAAGTCTAAAGGCAAGTTCTGAACATACCGACACCAACAGACGTCCCCTCGGGCTGAGGTCCGACAGGCTCTGGGACAGCAGCAGAAGAGGGTACGTCAGACCCTGCAGACAGATTGCTCGCACCACTCGGCATGCTATGAAGACTTTCAGCCCCGGGAACTGTAGTAGTATCAGGCCCAACGCCTGGTCCTACAGTGACACTCCTATGTTAACCAAATGGAAATTTGGATAAGTAAGGAGAATCGGGATAAGAAAATCGTATGCATACATGCAATCCCCCCGTCCTCAGATGCAGCCGGGATGCCAAGAGTCATGAGAGTATCGGCCCAAGCGGCTGGTCCTATGATGGCATTCTCTTATTAGTCAAAAAAAAGAATTAGACGAATAAGAAGGATGGGGATAGTACAGTCATCTGCATACCTGCAGATCCATCATCCGTAGGCATTTGAGGGATGCCAGGAGTCATATGAGAATCAGTCCTAGTGGTTGGTCCTATGATTGCACTCATATATTAGTCAAAAGACGGATGAACATAAGAAAGTACGATATCCCTAAATCGTATGCATACCTGCAAGCCCGTCACTCTGAGGCAAACTGGATATGCCAGGGATAGATACCGGGCTAACTCCAATGGTTGACGCTGCGATAATCAATCATTCATTAGTCAAATAAAAGATCGGGCAAGAGAAAGAGAATCAGATATGTACCGGTAGATGAATCGTTCCCGAAGAATGGTCTCTCGGTCCCTCTGGAAGTCTGCTCAGCCAGCATGTCAGCTAATAAACCGGCATCCGGCTTCGAGAAGCTTGGCCCCTCCATCGCAACATCTGCAAGGTAACTTGAATGTTGAAAGACGAGGAAAGCTCGAGAAGATACTTTCAACAAAAGCGGGAAGTCTTCCTTCCCCATGCTTGAAGAAAATGACATTGAATATGGATATACCTGAATAAGGGACTGTGGGCTCAACATTATTCATCTGCTCAAGGTCGATGTTTAGATCGATGCCCAAGGACCCGTCGTGAAGAGCATCGCACATTTGTTGCACAAAGCAATCCATATTGTCAACACCAGGGGACGCCGAACCCGGTGGGAGTTCGCCCTCCTCGAAGAAACCTGAAGCACAAAACATGGTCACAAATCCCCAAAAGGTAAACAACCTTGAAGCAAGAGCAATTGAATATTACCTCCCCCTCCATCGGCGGTACTCCCTAAGTCCCCATAGGGACGCTGACCGTCATGGGGCTTATGGGCGGTCTTCTTCCTCTTCGGGGCACCAACTGTGGAACGGATCTAGACAATCCACATGCTAGCCCGATTCAAACGGTGATCGGTAAAGGCATATCAAACCCGTTGATGGCTGGGGGTTTGCCAAAAATCCCACAAATCTGTCATTCGGAAGGAATACAAAGAAATCACAAAAGAAGCAAAGGCGAAGTTTCCATTGATAGACTCAATCAAAAACATACAACAAAAAGCTCGTTAGCCCGAAGGCATCTGACGGCTAAGAATGTGAGACTTTAAGCTAAAGAGTCTATCTACATAACTCCGCTCGAGTTCCGCCTGCAGATCAGCTCGAACGGATTCTTCGGAACAACTCAAAATCTCCGCAGCTTCACTCTTCAACTTCATCAGTCCCTCCTGAGTAGATTCGAGCTCCTCGAGTACCTGGTCACGAGAACGCTCTAGTCCAATCAGGTCATCTGCGGACACGAAAGAAGAAGCCCCGGTAACCTCCAGTTCCTTCAACTCTCGTATCTCTGACTCCAGGGCGGCGAAATCAGCAATGAAGGAATCATCCAATTCCGGGTATCCTTCTTCCCTCATCATCGTCATGTGGCGAGAGAAGGAACGCCTGAACTGATCAAAGCCGCATCCTCTATGAAGAAGTTTCTCGATCAGGCCGTTATAAAAAGCGGTGAAGAAGCTGAGGTCCGTACGAAAAGCCTCTCTGTCAGGATCAGTATCGACCAAATCTTCCCTCATCATCGTCATGTGGCGAGAGAAGGAACGCCGGAACTGATCAAAGCCGCCTCCTCGGTGAAGAAGCTTCTCGATCAAGCCATTATAGAAGGCGGTGAAGAAACTGAGGTCCGTGCGGAAAGCCTCTCTGTCAGGATCGGTATCGACCAAAAGGCTACGGACACGCTCATATAGGGAAGATCGAGATCCTACAAACAGAAACATAGAAGCTCAGTGGATTATCGAATATGAAAAGGAAAGTCAAAAGGCAAGTTCTGAACATACCAACGCCAGCGGATGTCCCCTCGGGTTGAGGTCCGACAGGCTCTGGGACAGCAGCAGAAGAGGGTAGATCAGCCCTTGCAGGCGGATTGTTCACACCACTCGGCAAGGGCGGGGAGGCACCACTGCTATGAAGACTTTCAGCCCCGGGAACTGTAGTAGTCAGGAGTCATATGAGAATCAGTCCTAGCGGCTGGTCCTATGATTGCACTCATTAGTCAAAAGACAGATAAACATAGGAAAGTACAATATCCCTGAATCGTATACATACCTGCAAGCCCGTCGCTCTGAGGCAAACTGGATATGCCAGGGATAGATACCGGGCTAACTCCAATGGTAGACGCTGCGATAATCAATCATTCATTAGTCATATGAAATATCGGGCAAGAGGGAGAAAATCAGATATATACCGGTAGATGAATCGTTCCCGAAGAATGGTCTCTCGGTCCCTCTGGAAGTCTGCTCAGCCAGCATGTCAGCTAATAAGCCGGCATCCGGCTTCGAGAAGCTTGGCCCCTCCATCGCAACATCTGCAGGGTAACCCAAATGTTGAAGGATGAGGAAAGCTCAAACGAGAAATCTTCCTTCACCTTACATAAGGAAAATGACATTGGATGCGGATATACCTGAATAAGGGATTGTGGGCTCGACATTACTTATCTGCTCAAGATCGATGTTAAGGTCGATGCCCAAAGACCCATCGTGAAAAGCGTCGCACATTTGTTGCACAAAGCAATCCATGTTGTCAACGCCAGGGGACGCCGAACCCGGTGGGAGTTCGCCCTCCTCGAAGAAACCTGAAGCACAAAACATGGTCACAAATCCCCAAAAGGTAAACAACCTTGAAGCAAGAGCAATTGAATGTTACCTCCCCCTCCATCAGCGGTGCTCCCTAAGTCCACTCCATAGGGACGCTGACCGTCATGGGGCTTATGGGCGGTCTTCTTCCTCTTCGGAGCACCCACCCTCCGAGGGCCAACGGGTTGAACATGCGCAGGCCTATCACACGTTTCAACGTGTGTAGGAGCTGAGGGCTCATGATCACCGGCTGTCCTACCTAAAATGACAATAGCCATTTCAATGAAAAAGAGCTGTCATTTATGGAAAAGGAAAATTAAAAGAGACAGGACAAACCGGTATCGAGATCCCCTCTGCCGGTATCTGCATCCACACACTCTTCCTCGGAGGTCTCATCATCATCATCCGTAGGGAGGAGCTCTTCTTCGTCTGTGAGAAGAGATTTGGCATGCCCTTTTTTCCGCTTCCGAGCAAGCTCAGCCTTGCGAATCGCCATCATAGCAGCCCGGACCGCATACTCGGACTGCAACTCTGAGAGGCTCTTCACGCTGATGGACTCATAGGCAGAAAGCAACCACTTGCAGCTGAGGAAAGTGATCAGTGGCTTACGCCTATACGAAGGAAGAGCAAAGCGAGCTCCAGTACATCCCACCATCGTCCATAGCCACGCTCGTACGCCATCAATCAATCCTCCCTCAACCTGAAGGCTACGGCTCGGATTCCCAACATACAGTTGGTCGTAACCGAACTGGCGAGCAAAGCGGCAAGGGAGATAAGGCTCTATGTAGCACTGGTTCTTCACCCGGAGGACAAGATATCCAACACGGATGTTCACTAGCCACCGGAAACAACCAGCATCAAGAATAGTCCGATCGCTTCTGGGTTTCTCCTCATCAACCAGCGCATCGCCATAGCGACCTGAAAAATGAGGGAAACACTTAAAGAATTCCCAACTCTTGCGGACTCGAAGCTCTTGCTGCACATCACTAAACTTGTTCCCGAGCCATCTGCTCTTCTCCAACAGCTGTATGAAGGGGACGGGGATGTCAACAACACTGGGCGCTGACATCAAGTCAGGACGGTGAAGAACGAACCACGCCATCAGATATGCATAAGGGAGCTCAACCTTCGGACAAACAAGCTCAGCTGATGGTGCAGAGCCCATATGTGTGAAACTGCTGACCAGACCCCTGAGCCCGCAATGGATGCTAGCAACCATTGCTGGGAGCAGGGAAAGCTCTCTCCCGTAAGCTAGCTGAACCGCAGGGAAGAGCACCTCGAGGGGTAGAGCGTCTGAAGGCTGGTGCGGGACGACGCATTTCTTCAACCAAAGGGCAAGGTAGCCTGCTAATAGAGTCCGGGGCCCTATGGACTTCTGTGCGCGGCGGAGAAAAGAGCGAAACTTGGTCCCCGCGGGAAAAGCTCCCTCAGCACTGCCAATGGTGTAGGAACGAGCCTCAGCCTTCTCCAACAACTCATTAACGGCAGAAGGGGTCAACACGTCTAATTCACAAATAGATGTACTGGAATCACCCTCCAAGTTTTGGAACAAGTAGCTGGCAAACTGCTTCAAGCTGATCTGCCTCTTCCTCCTCGCTTGAGGAGAAGTCTGGATCAAGGAAGTATAGTAGTGGCAAGTAAGATCCCAGAGTGTGTCATACATATCCGGAGTATCTTTCTTCATACACTCCAGTTGCTGGTTCGAGGGGAAGTACTCCTGATACGGACAATCCCCCATAGGAAGACCCGAAATATGGTGCATCTCGTGCAAGGCCAACCCTAGCTCACCACCACTGGTCAGAAAGGTGTTGCTGTCAGGCATATAGGTCTCCAGCAAAGCCAAGAAATGGCGACAGCTGACTGGGATTCCGTACATAGTAGCTCGTATGGGTGCATACAACCCACTGCTCTTCAGATCCCTCTCCCAGCGCGCTAAGACAAAACCAGTCATGCGCGCCCACCACCCCTTGGCTAGGGAGGAAGCCCAACCATAGCATCTGTATTCTGGCAGAGGGAACTGTCTCCCAAGAAGAGCCAGACGGTTGCTCACGGTCGGAGCAATAGCGGACACCTCGCCTGGGGGTGCGGTATCAAGGCCCATAATCCCGGGTCGTAGGCCACGTACGTCATGATACCCGTCAGAGCCAGGAGTCTTATGGTGAGTAGCATATCCGCACTGAACCCGCTCAGCATCTTCAGTAAGATGCCAAGACATCCGTCTGTCCACGGCTTGCCCCTTCAAGTGACTGAAAGAATAGTGGCGTGGAATCGAAGGGATGTACAAACAGGCTCCACCGTCAAGAGTTAACCAATGCTCCTCACAAAGAGTCAGCGTGGCAGGATCCCTGACATGATCTCCAAATAGAAAACCCGGCTTCTTTAGAACCTGAGTGGAAGTAGAATCAGGGGTGAAGGAGGCATCTGTGATAAGTTGGCGCAAGCAATGGCGCCCTCCTTCCTGTATCGAACGGCAAGAGTCATTTGGACGATCCCCGTCGAACCGAGGAAGGCCCTCCTTCCTGTATCAAGCGGCAAGAGTCGTTTGAGCGATCCCCGTCAAACCGAGGAAGTGGGCTAACAGCCTGCCTAAGGGTAGCAGAAGAGAAAACCTCCCAACTACAGCCGGTGTTGGCATGAGAAGGAAGGCTACCCGCGGGAAATTCCACTGTAATAAAGCACAAGGATGGGATCAGATAATCCATCTCATAAGAAGAATGATAAACTCATTCACGGAATAATTGGAGAGACGATTTTGAGTGTCCTACACCGGAAGAACGGTATGCATCATCACGTGAATAACGTGGTAACATACACCGACCTATAAGGTGTAGGACGACACAAAAATCGCCCCAATATACCGGAGACTTGAATTGGCTAAGCAAAACAAGTCTGAAACCTTACCCTCCGTGAGAGAGGTATCGGTTCTTCCTTCATGACCCGCAAAGAGGTCAATCAGGGATGCAAGAAGAAAAAACTGCATAAAGCCTCACCCCCGAAGAATGAGGCCGTGGGAGGAGACGTCGTAGGAACCTCCTCCTCACTATGCTGTGAATGAGAACGACTCCTACGGGGTCGAGATCGACGCGGAGACATTGCAAATCTGCAACGAAAAGCAGCAAGTCAAGTACAATCTAAAACATGGATACACGAAATTTAAAAGGGAAATTAAGAACTTTAATTAAAATCCTATACACAAATAGGATTTCATAATTGAAGTCTAATTAAACCTACAAATTTCGTGCACGATGATTGTCATCTTGCGCGGTGAATTTTGGTGAAATACCCAAAATACCCTTAGTGTTCAAGGCCAAAATTCAGGTCAAGGACACGCCCGGGTTGGGTCGTGGTCATCATAACTGATCATATAGCGCCCCCCGGTACCCCACAATGTTGGTTAATTTTACAAATGAGCCCTTTTGTAGGATTTAACCAATCTTGCAAATAAACCCCTCTAACAACTTTTGGTCCTCTTGCCTAAAGCACCCATCAAATTTTCAACCAAGTGGACATACAATCCAAGACCTAATTTCAGTCCTATTTTGCATAAAAGCCCCTCAAAAGATTTTGGCCATAGTGTAACTTTGCAAATAAGCCCTCCAAAATTTCGGCCATATTGCCTCTTTTGCACAAAACACCCCAAAGTACGGTGCACACACAACCCCTAGCCTATTACAAGCCTAAAGATGCAATCTTTACAAGAAAATAAGAGGATTGTGAAGGGAAGCTTACCAAATCAAAGAAGTTTCTTTTGAGCTTGAAGGGAGAGGAACCCTAGCTTTGAGAGAGTAGAAATCTCGGCCAATAGGGTACCCACAAAACCCGACCTTTGCTTGGGGTTTGATGAGTGCTTGAAGGAGAGTTCTTGGGGAGGAAGAACACCAAAACCGAAAATAGAGGGGGAGGGGTTCGGTTTTGAGCCAAAGAGGAGGAGATTCTCTCTTGGAAATTTGAAAGGAGGGAGGGAAACAAAAGAGGATTTGAATCAAGGAAGAAAGTAAAAGAGGGGGAAAACCAAAATAGAAAAAGACAAAACCCAAAAAAAGAGGGGGGGACCACGGTGAGCCAAAGACACCCCTAGGGGTGTCTCGGCAAAACCGAGACACCCCATGGGTGTCTCGGCAATGCCGAGACACCCCAAGGGTGTCTCGGCCTTGCCGAGGCACCCCGGGGGTGTTTTGACCCGGTTTTGACCCCCGAACTTTTTACTGACCCCCTGATCCTCTTAGGAGCACCGTTTCTTCACCAATTATTGCATACGTTGATGAGTTCTACAAGTCAACGCACGGCGATTCCAAACCCTCGGGTAAACGCCGGTCAACGTGTTGCGACAGAAGTCAACGCACGGCGATTCCAAACTCTCGGGTAAACGCCGGTCAACGCGTTGCGACACAAATCAACGTTCGACGATCCAAAACCCTAAGGGTCAACGCCGGTCAACGCGTAACCCTAGGTCAACCCCATTCAACGGGTTGCAACCAAAAGTCAACTTTTGACGAATCAAAACCCTAAGGGTCAACGCCGGTCAACGCGTAACCCTAGGTCAACCCCATTCAACGGGTTGCAACCAAAAGTCAACTTTTGACGAATCAAAACCCTAAGGGTCCACGCCGGTCAACGCGTACCCTAGGTCAACGCCAGTCAATGCGTTGCGACAAAAGTCAACGTTCGATGATTCGAAACCCTAAGGGTCAACGCCGGTCAACGCGTAACCCTAGGTCAACGCCAGTCAACGCGTTGCAACCAAAGTCAACGTTCGACGATTTGAAACCCTAGGGTGGACGCCGGTCAACGCGTAACCTTAGGTCAACGCCGGACAGCGCGTTGCGACAAAAAGTCAACCCCCAGTGATTCAGAACCCTAAGCCAGCACAATGTGGCGGAGGTAGTTCAAAGTCAACTCAATGACACGAGCCAAACTCAATTCATCAGCTGCAGACTCGAGACTCCGACGACGGCCAAGCGATAAACGCAGCGCCGGAAGAACCTCGGCTATTCGTCAAAGCATCGAATAGATCGAAAATCGAAGGAGCCAAGAGTTGAAGCTAACTA